CTATCTATCTATCGATCTATCTATCTTTCTATCGATCGATCTATCTATCTATCTATCCATCGATCTATCTATCTGTCTAGCCATCTATCTATCTCTCTATCTATCTATCTATCTATCTCTCTCTCTTTATCTGTCACTGTTACCTGTATATTGCCTTATCGGTCTTTTCTATTTACCTATATATCTATCTGACCATCGCTCTATCTATCTATCAATCTATCTAGCCATCTATCTATCTATCTATCTGCCTGTCTATCTATCTACCTATCTATCTATCTGTCTATCTTTCTATCTATCTATCTCTCTATCTCTCCACCCATCTATCGCTCAAAACTCTCTCTATCTATCTATTTATCTATCTATCTGTCTGTCTATCTATCTATCTCTCTCTCTCTCTCTTTCATCTATCTATCTGTCTACCTGGCTATCTGTCTGTCTATCTATCTATCTATCTGTCTGTCTGTCTGTCTGTCTATCTGTCTATCTGTCTATCTGTCTATCTGTCTATCTTGCTATCTGTCTATCTGTCTATCTGTCTACCTGTCTACCTCTCTATTTGTGGTGCAGTGTCATTCAGTGCAATGTAGAGTAGTGAAATGTAGTGTGGTGGTGTAGTGGAGGGTATCATGTCATCATGTCGCCGTCGGATATGTTTGGATCAAAGCATTTCGCCACTGGGTGTGCCACGATGAACATAAACGTTAACATCATGCTGACCCCTATTCAAATCATTCGCATGGCACCTATCTCACTAGAATTTACCAAAGAACATAAAACATCATTTTTTCGGGGTTGCGCTTCATCTCGCCTCGATGAAGCACAACCAAGTGCTTGGGAGCACAGCCAAAGTCATTTATCGCACAAAAATGAGCTTGGTTGCGCCCCCAAACGCTGGGTTGCGCTTCATCTCCCCTCGATGAAGCACAACCTTGGAAAATGATATTTTTTTTATCTTCTTTGGTAAATTTATGTCTTCCAGACCATAGATTATTTTGCCTGTCGAAAAAACTTGAAAGAAAGCGTGAAAAAACAAAAAATGTAACTCTTGTTTCATTTTTCCCTTTGAGCCTCTCCGTGTTTTTCCTTTCTTTTTTCTCCTTTTATTCTGCTTTTGTGTTTTTAAGATTTTGCTGCTTTGCTTTTTCGCTTTTCCGACGTTGATACTTTTTTCGCGTTTTTCGCGAAGTTAGAATATGCTACGGTCTGGATGACATAAATTTACCAAAGACGATAAAAAAATATCTTTTTCCAAGGTTGTGCTTCATCGAGGCGAGATGAAGCGCAACCTAGCGTTTGGGGGCGCAACCAAGCTCATGTTTGTGCGATAAATGACTTTGGTTGTGCTCCCAAGCACTTGGTTGTGCTTCATCGAGGCGAGATGAAGCGCAACCCCGAAAAATGATGTTTTCTGTTCTTTGGTAAATTCTAGTGAGATAGGTGCCATACGAATGATAGTAGTAGTAGTCGTAGTCGTAGTCGTAGTCGTCGTCGTAGTAGTAGTAGTCGTAGTAGTAGTAGTAGTAGTAGTAGTAGTACTACGGCCAGGACGGATGTGCTGCCCGGGAAAGTAGGTTTTGACTGCGCAGGGCCAATGTTTTGTGAGATTCCCCGTGTCGTTCGTTTGGGCAAACGGATGACGAATTTTTCCCTCATTTCATCAACATCATCATCATCATCAGCATCATCAGCAACAACATCAACATCATCAACATCATCCACATCCCAATTGACTGTAAAGTTTAACGGGGGTGGGAGTTTACTATTCCCTAATACCCTTGTTGATCTTCCCAATTGAATGCAAAGTTTAACGGGGATGGGAGTTTAATATTCCCTAATACCCTTGTTGATCTTCGCAATTGAATGTAAAGTTTAACGGGGGTGGGAGTTTAATATACCCTATAATACATTTGTTGATCTTCCCAATTGAATGCAAAGTTTAACGGGGGTGGGAGTTTAATATTCCCTAATACGCTCGTTGATCTTCCCAATTCAATGTAAAGTTTAACCGGGGTGGGAGTTTAATATTCCCTAATACCGTTGTTAGTGGGAGAACCTCCACAGAGTCAACCCCTAACTTGGTTGACCCTCTGGAGGCCCCTCCACCGGGTCCACGTATTCGGAGTTCGGAACGTACTTGTACAGAACAAAAAAAGATACTTTATGTATACTTAGTAGAAATCACAAGGTCAACAACTAACCAAAAACATTAGTTTCTGTGGACCCGGTTGGACTTTATGTAAACTTGCTAGAAATCACAAAGTCAACAACTAACCAAAAACAATAGTTTCTGTGGACCCGGTGGGAGAGCCTCCACAGAGTCAACCCCTCACTTGGTTGACCCTCTGGAGGCCCCTCCACCGGGCCCACCTATTCGGAGTTCGGAACGTACTTGTACAGAACAAAAAACGATATTTTATGTATACTTGGTAGAAATCACAAGGTCAACAACTAACCAAAAACATTAGTTTCTGTGGACCCGGTTGGACTTTATGTAAACTTGCTAGAAATCACAAAAGCAACAACTAACCAAAAACAATAGTTTCTGTGGACCCGGTGGGAGAGCCTCCACAGAGTCAACCCCTCACTTGGTTGACCCTTTGGAGGCCCCTCCACCGGGTCCACGTATTCGGAGTTCGGAACGTCATTGTACAGAACAAAAAACGATACTTTATGTAGACGTGGCGGAAGCGCCTCCACAGCGTCAACAACTAGCTCAGTCGACTCCCTGGAGGCCCGTCCAACGAGTCCGCGTGCTGACAACACGGTATACCTACAAGAATAACGATTCACCAACAACAAGCACACAAACATTCCAGCTGCTTGGGTGAGCTTTTCAAACTCCAAAAGTTTCTTCCCAACCGATTCTTGTCCAAAATGCCTACCTTATACATCTAACGTTAGAAATCGGCAAACTCTTCAACGCAATTTCCACGAAGTCATGAATCCGCTTGTTGATCTTCCCAATTGAATGTAAAGTTTAACCGGGGTGGGAGTTTAATATTCCCTAATACCCTTGTTGATCTTCCCAATTGAATGTAAAGTTAACCGGGCCCGGGCGTAGTAGTAGTAGTAGTAGGTACGTAGTAGAGTATGTAGTAGTTTAGTAGTGGTAGTGGTAGTAGTAGTGGTAGTGGTAGTGGTAGTGGTAGTGGTAGTGGTAGTGGTAGTGGTAGTGGTAGTGGTAGTGGTAGTGGTAGTGGTAGTGGTAGTAGTAGTAGTAGTAGTGGTAGTAGTAGTAGTAGTACTAGTAGTAGTAGTAGTATTAGTGGTATTAGTGGTAGTAGTAGTCGTCATAGTAGTAGTAGTAGTAGTAGTAGTAGTAGTAGTAGTAGTCTTCATAGTAGTAGTAGTAGTCCTCATAGTAGTAGTAGTAGTGGTAGTGGTAGTGGTAGTGGTAGTAGTAGTAGTAGTAGTGGTAGTAGTAGTAGTAGTAGTAGTAGTGGTAGTAGTAGTCGTCATAGTAGTAGTAGTCGTCATAGTAGTAGTAGTCGTAGTAGTAGTAGTCGTCGTCGTCGTCGGCGTGCTTGCGTTACAAACAGTCGCACCTTCTCTTGCCTCTCCCTCCTGTCTTTTCCCCCCCTACCTTTCGTCCCCCCCCTCTCAAGTAAAATCATACAGAGGGTTCAGCAGCAGTTCAGCAGCCTTCTTCCAACTTGATTGAGAAAATCATAGAAAATCATAAGAACACAGAGGCAGCAGCTTTTTCACAGTCCTTGATAGCCTGAGAGGAAGAGAGAACGCCCTCCGCTCACGAGTCGGCCCTTGAAGAGCAACAGAATGCCCTTGCAGTGAAGGACACGTTGAGATCATTTGAGATCTGTTAATTGAGATTTGTTAATCTTTCATGATATGTTCATGATATGCTCATGATATGTTTATGAGAATTCAGCAACTCTCTGACTGTCTCTGCAATGCAGGGTAGATATCTCATGATATTTCTGAATATTTCTGCATATTTCTGGGTGATACAACTCGGTACAACTTTGTGTCTTGCTGGCAGGACATTGTTCACAACCTTTCCAGCCAGGTTGGATAGCGGATATCTATGGATAGCACAGAAACATACAGAAACTGTGCAGTGCTGATTTTTCCATGGAATGCAGGAAGTTTCCTCACAATTTTTTTTTGATATCCAAAGTGCTTTCCGTTCCTCACGGTTCAGGTTGATGAGAACGTGAGCCAGGTGACCAATACCTTGGCATCGGAGGCGGGCTGTGGCTTGGGGTGGCCATCTCAAGTTTAGCCAGCTGCTTGAAACACATATTAAATTTTTAAATTAAATTATATCATATTATGGTGTCACTTTTCGATACCTCAGGAGCCTCACGTAGTTTCGGATTAAAATTGTTGAGGTGAAGCTGAACTTCACGACCTGGAAAGACCTTTTGGGTTTTGTCTTAATGATTCTTGTTTCTTTGTTCGCTTCACGCAATCAAAAACTCAACAACAGCGTGTCCTGCAAAAGCGCACGACATGAGCAAGTCTCCTTGTGTCATTGTGGAAATGAGACTGGACAGCTGGGACCTGGGAGACTTTTGTGCTGACTCACCATTTTCTTTGAAAGTTGCAGCGGTTCTTTGGTTCAGCTGGTCAGGGAGAGACGAAACTTGCATCAGCAGTGGTGGTTCACCCAGAAGTGGAGAGGCCCGAGGCCTCGATGATCGGCAACTTGGCTGCAGTGAGGGATTTGCGAGAAAATATCTCTGTTGGAAGAGTTTTTGGACACTAGGCCGGCGAGTCAGTTTGACATGGGCAATGGCAGCTTTTGGATGTTTCTGGTGTCCATGTTACATGCTTTCTAATGCTTTCATGTGTATCAACCGAGCTCAGGCACCACTGCTTCAGAACGGGGGCCAGTGGTGAACCATCCCGAGGCCGAAACACCTGCTGGAACTTGAGAAACTCTTGAGGGATCTTCAGCTCATACTTGTGTGTAGCAGTCGTAGGGAATCGGGTGTGGAAATCCCGTTTTCATTCTTCAAACATGTTCAAACTGTGCCAGGAGGCCGGATCAGCGACAGACGCTATGACGACAGCTGCTCTGGCATGAATAGCGTGGAAGGAGGAGGGGAGTGCAGAGGCCATTGAAGGCTTGGAAAGGCTGTGGGAGGAGATGCTTCAAATTGCTTCAAATATATTAACAGATTATTAACATGTCTTGGGACTTGGGACTTACCACCAGTTTTTCTTTGCAAATAGATTCGTCATGATCTCCGAGCCTCAAGCACGTTTTTGTCGGCTTCAGCCGCTTCAGCTGTATCTTCAAGGTTGTGGAGTCTACGAATCTAGCCAAAGAGAGCACTGACACCGTTGTCCGCAACATGCAAGAGGAGGAGGCCCGTCCAGGGGAACATTTGATCATGTGAGGCATTCAGATGGAAAGTGCTGGGTTGCACCAATGAAGACACTGGCAAAAGCAAATCAAACGATGAACCAACCTGCTTCCTTAAGAACAAATTGTGACGCCTAAGCTCTGATCAGCAAAGCCCAGAAGCTGTTGCTGCGGCTTTGCCTTCGCACTCTGTGAGGAACGAACTCGATTGGAAGCAGAACGCAAGAAGGAGGTGCTGATGTCGAAGCTAAACATGGGTAAGACTTGTCCAACATGGTTCAACCGTTTCACCTGTTGAACGGTTGCTGTAAAACTTTGGAGCGCGCCTTTGGTGAACCTCTAATTCCCAGCTTGTCACTGCGCTGCTCGGATATCAAACCGACAGCTAGAGAAGAAGTCGCGCTTGGGTTTGCTCTTTGGCATTTGCCTGTGTAAAGTGTTTCCAGACATTTCGAAGAGTTGCACATGGCACGTGCCTGTGACCTGTGATGGTACAAGAACCTGCAACAAGCAAGCCAATCTCTAGGCTCTCCTCTCCAGGTATTATGTATATCTATCTAAAGTTTATATATATATATAATGTATTACTTCAGGAATCAGCCCTGGCTTGGGAGCAAGTGTCGGCTGTCCACCCCATGTCCCTGCAGGAGGAGCTGCGACTGGAGGAGGAACGAAAGAAGAAGGTGACAGTTTTGTGGTAACAGGGCTGTAAGATGCTGGAAATTAGTTTCACATTTGAATTAATGTATCATATATTCACTTCAAGGTTACCAATGATTTTCAATGGACCTGCTCCCAACTAGGTTCCAGTTTCCACTCCTTTCACACTTCTATCATTCTGTGATCGAGTAGTTGGCAGGTTGAGGCAGCTGTCGCTGCAGCCTCCTTTGACCAGCTTGACACCAACAAAGATGGGGTCATCACCCGAGAGGAGAATCTGCTTCGCAGCGCAGCAACTGATGAGTGATGATTTTGGATGGCTAAATGTGGTTAACTCACTGGAAAGTGCAGAGTGCAGGAGTTCCAAGACTTCGTGCAGAAGGCACAAGTGTGGCAAATGTCAAAGTGCTTGACAGCTACAGCTTGGGAGTAACGGATTAAGACCTCTTCTTGAGCCGCTTGGACGCCGTAATTCAGCGCAGGTTCAAAACGAGACCAGTGGCACCCTGGTGGAAGAGGCTGTCAAAGCAGAGCTTGCAGAGTGGCACTGACTGTATAGCATGAACTAGACACTGCTGGAGTGCATCAAAGGACTTCGGTGTGATTTAATAAACAGATGTACACATGTCAAACCGTTGCCTCGATGAGAAAACCAGAATTTGGATGCAACCTGGCAGCAAGTCTAGTTGAGTCATTGGTAGGCTCGAAATCTGATTGTCACTGCAGCGGAGGACATCAAAGCCTAGCTTAAAAGCCATTTCGATCCATGATGTCAGTGGATTTAGCAGACCGAACTTTGAAGCTTTGTCTATATTTGGAACCCTGGTAGGATGGCCGATTGGAGGAGTACCTGAAGAAAGAGCAGCTCAACTGCATTACAATTTTCTCAATTTCCTTTTGAGCTCGGTAAATTTGGTGACTGCATACTTCACCTTCTGGATGTTCAACCTTTAGTTTCAAATCTTAAACACTGTCGCACAGTCGGGCACAGTTTCACAAACATTCGGATGACTTGAATCGCCCGGCCTCGAGGTGCCCGAAGGTGCAAAATATTTCAGTGCTACAACGCTTTGTCGGCGTCGGCTGAAATCGCCAGTGTTCTTTTTTTTGAAACATCACACTGGCGACAGGATTCTGATGATTCTGTCCTTCCAGCAGAAGCTGAGGCATCTCACAAGAAATCGCTACATCACTTGGTACCCACAATATTTTGGGTCTATCCAAGCGAAGGACTTCTGACATTTCTGTCCGAACTTTTGATGCAAAAATGATATCTCAAACTCAGTTTTAGCTCACTTCTCACGTCGCACTCCTACATTCCCTTCACTTTTTGACCTTTGTATCTTTCCTGCTGTGGTTGAGGCCTCACAGACTTCGCAATCTCTCCAGGCCGCCGCCATCCCTTCAGCAATCGCTCACCTCGGCTGACCCCAGCTGTCAGGATGAGGATCCCGAAACCATCCAAGAGAGAGTGAACGAGGCGATTTCAGGGCCATGGACCTTTACATGCACGCATGAAATCATATGACATCCCAGACATGCCAAGGTTGTCGGGACTAATGAATCTACCTGAAGATGTTCACTGAATGCAGGTGTTGGAGGAAAACAGCAGACTGCGCTCCGAGAACGAAGCCCTGCGGGTGTAGATCTCAAAGGTAAATTTAGCAGTTTCAAAAGGTGCAGATTTCAGGAAGGCATCCTGGCTACTTCAATGTTTTTTTTGATCTGACTTCAACCAGTTTCATCACTTCATCATAATATGGGTTTGTTTGAAAATATGGCACCCTTATATAAATCCGTTCGATAATCATCATTATCCCTATTTTGGTGGCATATTCCATTTTCAGACAAACCCGCATATCATATCAAGCTGGTGATGTATCCAATTATTATCCCTTTATTATTATCCCTTTATTATTATCCCTTTACTATTTATCCATCATTATCCCATTACTATTCCACTATTGTTTGATTATTATTCCACTTGTATTCCATTAAATCTTCAGGAAATAGCCGCAACATCATTGTTGAATTTTCATCCTTCTGAATCTGAAGGTGGAGCTGGAGCAACTGATGGCCCTGACAGTGGTGGGGGCCTTTGCTGATTTTCGCTCCATAACAGTATATATATAATGTATACACATAGGGATCCCTGCCTCCTATGGTGGTAGATATTGTCCAGATGTGTAGAATCGGCGAGTGAGCTGATTCACATGCAACTTCCGTTAAGCAGCGGCTGAGACTCCAGACATGACGCCCCCGCAGACAGGAAATCGATGAGGCAGGTGAGCTTATCCTTAGTACCTATCTAGTTCAGGTTTGCGGGGTAGCTTTGATTGTTAGAGAGTTCAATGAGCTGTGAGTGGAATTTCCAAGTCTCCCCCTTCCGCACATCAAATATCCTTAAATGGCCAGAAGAGCGCCTTTCAGGAAAGCAGCCCCTGTCATGGCATCACTGACGGTGGTTGCGTTGGAGCTGTTCGCTAGAGGAACTCCTGGAAATTTGCTGCTTAACCAAAGTAGATGTAGAGAACCCCCCCAAACAGACCCCCCAAACAGACTAATGATATAACAAAGTTGCACAGCATGCACAGCCTTTCCAGATGTGCCTCACCACACTTGCCCAGCCCATGACCATGGGCATATTAGATTATGTCAAGATGCGCTTCTTGAGCCTTGAAGGCTTGAGAGGTTTCACTTGCACACAGCAAAGAGCAAAACACATTGCTGAGGCCAAGCATGGTCTTCAATGGTCTCTATGGCTTAGCCAAGTCTAATAATCATCCCTAATGGACCCATGGGAGCCTGGCAGTGTCATTTTGAGCCGATCCTCACCACGCTTTGGAGCTCCAGAACTCACGGAGCACAATGCAGTGACTGAGTTCATATGAGCTCACAGAATGCCAGGTCAGCTGGATTGTCAGGGTGCAACAAGTCGATTAATCACATCTTTATTGGGCCTAGCTGCATAGCGCCTCCGGTGTGATTTGAAGTCAAACAATCTTGTGGCCGAGCATGTCATTTTTTTGGGGCCTGAGACTGCTGAAGGTGGTCTTGGCTCGGATCACATCAGGGTGTCACCGTGAAATGTGTGGAGGGTCTTGGAGGCATGCTTTCTGCACCAGGGGCACAGGCCGTAGGGCCCATAATCATAGGATGCTTGTCACTTGTGGGCAGATGTAGATTGTAGAGGATCCGTGCGCTGGAATCTGCTGCACTTGAGGCTCAAGCAAGATACGAAAAGTAGAGTTCACGGATTAGTGTTCTCATTTGCCTGATACGAACTGTGAACGCTGACGCTGATGGTCTCCAGTCTCCAATTTGAAGACATCTCATGTCATTCAGACTGAAACCTCACGAAACGTCGCCATTCATGTCATAATTTGGGCCACTGGCAACAGTGCCGTGGGTCGTGCCGATCCCATGCAGTCAACAGAGGCTTGTGAGATGTAGTAGTAGTGTGATGGCCGGCTGTGACGCATACCTTGATGAACATACAATGGCACGTAGGCACTTGTGCAAGTTCGGGAAGACACTTTTCTCATATGTGTGAAGGAAAAACACCTGTGTCCAAAACTGGCGTTGACAAGGATCTTGACATATGCTGAGGTGCAAATATCTGGTCATTCATTGCCTTGATAGGTGAGTTTCTTTGGACAGTAGATAGGACTTTGATCAGCGTGAACATGCTCGCCCCGCTGCAGGATTATTAACCGCTAAACTACCATGTCATTCAATCTGAAAAACTGTGAGTATATGTGTAAACTGACTGACAACATGCATAATCAAGACGATGCTGGTAGCATATGCTCTAGAAACCACCACATGAGAGGAAAGAAACTGTCCTGATCTTTTCATGACTTGCCTCAAACATGGGCAATGATCAATGTGTCAACACATTCGCAGGCTTTAGGATGCATTAGAACCACTTGCCATGCGGACGCTATGGATATTGGTTGCAACTGGACAGTTGCTGGCTGCAGCAGCCACAACTACCTCAGCTGCTCATGATCCGGCAGAAACTTGTTGAAATCACAGCCCTCCGGGCCCTCCCATTTCGAGCCCCTAACATATGAGCCCTCGCTGGAGAGATGTGGTCCACCGAAGTGGCACAGCAAGCAGAAAACACAGAATACGGTACAGGATTATACAGGATTTACATTTGCTTTCTGACCAAGCAACATCCGTAGAAAGAAAGGAATGCCTTTCGAAGGTTCAATCACTGAGCAGGGGGCGTGATTCGGCATGATGGGAATGTGGCAGGAGTCAAGCTTGAGCTGCTGGACAACAAGACAATATCTACCAAACACCTAGGATCCGGATCCAGTAATGGTTTGTGCAACTCCTTTCCAAAGAGATCCTACTGCTCATTCTCTTTATGATCTTTATTTGACACAATTTGACACATGTCCCTGAAGAAAGTGCTTCCAGTTTCATTCACTTCCCAAAGAATCTTTCAAAGCTCTGATCCTGGAACGATGCACCTTCAGGAAAGCCATGAAGAGCACGTAGAGCACGTAGACCATGTACATCCGCATGTGGCAATTTTGTCTCCTGGCATGCAGAAAACTTGGAGTCTAGCATCAGTGTAGACAATTATTGTAGACCAACATTTGTGGACATGCTCGATTTTCTTGTTCATGAACCATCATGAACCAAGGTTTCCGTGTCTCTCAATGCTGATAGGCCTGAACACTTTGCTGTGCAATCGTTATTGCTGTTGGTGTCTTTGAGTCTACTGGACACATTATGTCAAACATTCTCACTTGGAGTTTTCTGCGGCAGAAGGTATCACAGGTATCAGTTTGACTGCCTCAGAAGTGTTCTCTGGTGAACACAAGCTGCTAGATCAAATCGGACATTCAATGACAGTCATCTATCCGTGAAACGATTCGTTGTTTCCCTCCACCTTTTCAAACACAGTCGAATTGTATCCATTTGTCATTTTTTTGGAGGTTTGACGATTACTCACATCACTTCGCGGTGCCAGTGTCTTGCCACGATCCCGTACACTGTCTCATTGCTGCTGCTCGTCATGGACTCCAAGAAACTTTCTTCATTTTTCCCCGATCTTCGCTTTCTTCGCTTCGATAATGGTAGGTCTTGTTTTCTATGATGACAATGCGTTCAGTGAGTACCACGCACATAGCTGAATTTACCTGTTGCGTTCCCACTAAGGATTGTGGGTTGGGGCATGGGATTTCTGGACGTTGAGAGTGCTGGCAGTTTGGGGACACTCTCAGAGAGTATAAGCCTCTGGATTGCGATTGACCCAAGGAAGCACTTAGAATGACAGTGTGTGCGGCCTGAGCTTGATGCCGTCAAAATCTACGATAGACATTATGGTGTCATCGCTGGATTTCACGCACCGGCACACAAACGACACTTCAGTACTAGCCTCAGCAACTCTGACGTCAAATGCCGTTAGAGCTGGAAACAAGGACCCTCACCTTCTTCTCTATGCCTTCCTTCCGGTACTTCTCTTTGGTGATGCCATGTCAATTGTGCCTAGGCAACTGAGCACAGTGCTGTTGTGGCTATTCTTGCAGAAAAATCAGCAAACATCTGCAAATTGATGACGAACCGTTGTCATGTTTTATGTTTTGTGATCTTTCAGCGTTGATGCGACTTGCCAAGGTTTGGCATGACTTTCATCGAACAGCAGCTCAATGCATAGTCTTGGCAGGACTGAGAACGCTAGAGCCGCTAGGGATCATGTTAACACCAAGTGGCGAATCCCCATCAAATTGTCCTGACCACTGGGAAATGGAAGGACCTGGAGTCCTCATTGGAACAGCCCTGATGTATGTAGTTGCAAAGTTTGTCTTTCCATATGGATTCTTGGCTGCCACGGACCAGAACGAACCCGAACCTTTCTCGAGCTGTGCTGAATCTTTTCATGCATTGGAGCAGCTAAGCAGCCAAACTGCAAGCGTGGCAAGTCTGGCAAGCACCAGAGGTTGGGGAGACTTCGAATGTGCAGCCTTTGGCAGTGTTTTGGCGGCGACAGACCCTGTGGCCGTAGTGGGGCTGTTGAAGGCAAGGTGTGATTTTTCTGGATGTCGTGATTGGCGCACTGGTTTCCTGACTCATCTGACTCTTGGCAAATCCGATTGAACACAGTTGGGAAACGAAGCCTCCGTTGTCAGGAGATGGGAGCAAGCAGGGTGCTCACTATGCAGATCGCGGGCGAGTCCCTTCTCAACGATGCTCAGACAGTTTGACTGGACATTGCCTGACATGATGAACCACCATGCTTAGCCAAATGTCGAAATGACGCTTGGGCCCAAGCGGTTTTGAACAGCCAAGGATGGTGTGGCAATCGTCGTGTGGCTGGTTTTCTACAACTTGATGAAAGGAGAGAGCAGAACTGGGTGTCTGGAGAAGTCCGGAGAGGTGGTGCATGATGCGCATGATCATCATGCCACATTCATGGGAGACCAATCGTGCCGGATATGCGACACCATTAAGGATATTGTTCAATGCTTCTTTGATCCACAGAGGATTAGATGTCATTCTTTGGAGCACAATAAAACATTGGATCAGGTGAAAGGAGAGGTATTGCTCTGGTGTGCCCCAGTATCCAAAAACCTCGGCTGCAAAACAATCCCATGATGGAATCCCACATTGGTGTTTCTGAAAATAGGGTATTTTCACAATCCTACATGGCAATTTTAATACAGAACATGATAGCTTCAATGATAAGCCATCAATTTTCCGGGCACCCATGGTGTAACATGGGCAACCCAATTTCTGACGTCAGGAGAACAGGCCAGTGCAGAAATCATCTTGAGCTTCCTTCGCTTGGCCGTGGGTGGCACTGCATTTGGAGCCGCATGCGGAGTCATTGTGGCACGTGTCTAGTACAAAACGATCAAAATGCAGGGGCTCATGGGTTTGCTCCGGTTTTATTTGCAGCTGCATGGTGTTGGAAATATCAAGTGGCACATTTTCATTCACTTGTATTCAAATTTCAAGTGAATGGTCTCAGTGCGAAGAGGTTGCCAACGACCTGTGGAGGTCAAATCAGATGTATTTGGAACACAAAAAAAGACGTCCCTGCTAGGACTATACAGTTGATCGCTTGGTCCAACTGTGTTGATCTGCAAGGGATCACAACTCCTGTACCAGATGGATGCGGAAATATGATTCTACGGCAATAGACTTTCTATTTACGGGACGAAATATGGAAAAATAGTTGATTTTCTTTTCTCTGTTGGATAGCATGTCTGAGGCTGGATGTCCCTGGCTTCCAATCGGCTTGTTCATTCAGACTCCCTCGTTCAGGCAAGCGGGTGAAAACTGCTCAACGACTTTTGTTGTATGCAATTGAATGAACTAGCATCCTGCAGCAACCTTTGCTACAGTATTCTCACTGCAGAATCAGTGCCCAGAATCAGTAGTTGAACATGCTATTATTTATTTTTTTGAAGGATAAAACTCGACCGTAGCTGCTGGATTCTGGTTGGTACTTTGAATGGTCCGAATGGATCGGAATGGTACGGATTCAACAAGTTGGC